ATTTGTTAAGTTGGTATTGAGCTCTACTTTTTCCAGTGTCCCTTCTCCTTCCCAACCTGAAATTCCCTTGGTTTCTAAGCCATGCACAACCAGTGAAGGGTTTACAGTTGAAAGGATGCAAATTGTGATATGGGCAGTAGGCAAAGCTGTGAGGACCAGTTTCAGATTGAAGATTAGGTCCCATATTAAGTAAAGACGTAGAAATTGTTATTTTGATAGGGAAACACAGGCACACACACTCTCCTTGTAAACTTCTTAGGCTCCTGGGAAAACCCTTCCTGGTTTCCCTTGGCCTACAGTGAGGGGAGGCTAATTGAGATTCTTCAAGGGAAATCCCTTTTCTTTTCTTCGGTAGCCATGGAAAGACTCATTAAGCATTCTATACTTCATTCTTTCCCAGACCCTGACTTTGCTCAGCCCAAGTGCTAAAGCCCAGGGAGTGATGTCCGAGATTCCATTAAGCATGCCCTTTCGTCCTCCCTACCCCCCATGCTTAGTGTGGGAACAGAGCCTTGCCCCTCGAAGGATGGGTTCAGAGGGCAGCCATAAAGTTTGCCTTTTTACTAGGTGGGTGATTCTGTTCTTGAAATACTACCTGCATTTATCCATTTTGCCATTCTGCTCCCCATGGAGGGGGGCTGGATGTGAAAATGCCTCTGCCGTGGTCTTTCCTACTTGCCAATGACCACTTCTTCCTAATAAAACCATCCTTTGGAAACCCTGACTCACAATGTCATCTTCCTCTTCACATATCTTTTTTCAAATGATCTCTTAAGAAACAAGCCCCCTTCTCTCTCCTGCCTGTGGTTTACCTTCCCATTGTGAACTGTGCTGGTGAGACAGCACCTCCCTGGGTGCTGGGAGCTGGGGCAGCTCCACCCTTTCTGGAAATGGGGGTTGGGGAGAGTTAGGAAGGAAAAGGGCAGTGCAGGACACAAGGCAAGTAGGGCCCTAGACTTTTCCTCTTTCATTATGTGTGTCCACTGAGCTGTCCTGTTTCTGTTTTGTAATGGGTTCTTCTGTGGCAAGCTGACCTTTTGGCTGAATAGGTCAAACTCCCACTGAGCGCTAATCCTCAGCCTTCCTGGCGATTGTGTATCCCCGAAGGTGACAAGTGCTGGGTAGGAATATGACTGGGGGTGTGTGGTCTATTTCCCAAAAGGGGGATCATCTTTTACTGCACCGAATTAATTCTCAAAGACCACCTCACGAGCTAGGCAGAGTCTATACTGGAATATTTTTGCTGACATTGTTGAGGGACAGAACTAATTTTTCAGGTACATGTTTCAGATTGTGGTTTCCTTCTGTGTCTTCCATTTTTTAATGAGAAAAAAGTCAAATTCACAGTTCTCATGATTCATCGTATCTTTTTAGATTCCTGAAACAATCAGAATTTCTCTGGTTGATATTTAAAAATCCCTCGCTCTATATATTTCTTGCATTTAAAGACTCTTAAAACTCTAGGTGCTTTATTTTTAACCCTGGCAAAACATGAGTGTTGCGGTGTTTGTTGATAATTAGGTGCTGGGCCTAGGTTTGTTTTGAATTGCTTACAATTTTCTTTTGGACTGTTTATAAGGATTTATGACACCAGCTACCTTACAGTAGTTAGCGATTTTCAACAGCAAGTTGATACTCAGTAAATGCTGAATCAGATTTGAAGTTGAATTACTGTATTGCTGTTTTTTTTTCTTTCTTTCAACTGTTTGTATAAGCTGTTCAATTAACAGAATTCTCACACTTCACTGTCAGTGAGTCAGGGACACATTAGTCACAGATAAGTGTTCCATGTTCCATTTGTTTAGCAATGTGTTGTTTTGTGTTTTCGGTTAATTTAATTAGTGCTCTTTAAATTTCAAAAGGTAATGTCTTTTATCTGAGGAGACAAATAAGTGAAATATGTCTGTAAATGAGATGAAACAGTGACCCATTCATCAATAAGTGTACGTTGCATCTAGACAACCACATGGTTTTAGAAACTGTTAACTTCCAAACATCAAAAATCTGAGAGAGCCTCATACATAAGCTGTGTATTACTTTGCTGAAAATGATGGACTCATGGAGGAAACACCTCTTTAGTTTTTCTTAGGCATTAATGATACTCTGTTAGCGGAATGAGATGAACGTAGAGGAACAGAATAACTGCATCTGCATTGTTCCTGAGTTACCAGATTATTGTCTCCATTCTCCAAATGCGATAGGCTACAAAATACAAAACAAGAAGCGCATATTTAACATCTATTCGTTACCAGTAATGCTGGAGTCAGAGCTGGGTTTCAACCGGGGGCATAATGGGCTCCTGTTTAACATATTTATGTTGGTTGTAAAATTAGGAACTGTCATTACAGCCCCACATCACCTGCATAAGTGCAAAACATATAAATCAAGAGAAGTTCCAGTGCCATAAAAATGCCATGGGATAGAATAGCATGAAACCACTTACAAGATACTTGTGTGTGATGCTAGCATGTACTGGGACGCACCCTTTCGTTTCTAGAGGATCTGAGGAACAAAGAAGAATAACTATGCAGGTAGGGCTCATGGATGGAAGACCTGATGAAGACATGTGGGATCCCCAGACTGACTAATAATTTTTTTTAATAAAATTCCGTACTATTTATGCATTGGCAGCATTTACTGAGAGTAGAGCCTGAGCCCTACGTGAAGAAAAGGCAGGAAAAGAAAGGCCATCAATGGCCAGGCTTGAATAACCCCTGCAGCACTACACTAAAGTCAATGTTCCTATCATTCCAGGAGGCAGTTGGCCTGCCATCTGTTGTTACTGGAGCATGCCTCTTGGGCCTCCTAGTAAATAAACCTCTCCTTATATTTTCTGTGAAGCTTTAGGGTCCTCTGTAGGTTGGTGGCTGTTGCTCTCCTGGCCTTCTTCTGAATCCAGCTTTTTGGAGAACAGTCTATGTTCTCTCAAACCAGCCCATTTCTTCTGTGAAGTGCAGTGGTTTATTTTGAACTTGATAATTGGGAGTCCTGAGATGCCCATAAATTATGAACTGTTATTAATAAGGAGCTTTCTGGATCCTAATTACTGCCTCAAAAAGAGAGTGGACACTTTTGAAGTTTTTCAACCCTCCTGCCTCCCAGAAGCTCCCCCCAACAATCTTAAAAAAAAAAAAAAAAGACTGCAGATTTTATTCATGTGAGATCATTCACACCAAGCTACCATAATGTGCAATTAACACTCTAGAAACTGAAAACAGTATTCAGCAAGACAGCTGCATTATCAAAAATGCCAAAGGAGTTTTGAAGGGAGTAATGTGCATGTTAGAATAGGAATTTAATCAGAAATGTGCACATACACACACAGTAGTAGTGTCTTAAATATATCTGAATATTAAATTTTTAAAAATCCCAAGTCTATACTTATAGCAAAGATTAATGTTAGGATAGAAAACTGAGTTTTCTATTTTAAAATTATTGTGTGTTTTGCTTCTGAGGCAAATGAGGAAGTTGGAATAGAGATTTCTAAGATCCCTTCCAGCTGGAATATTCTTTGATAATAATCACTCTTCAATTATATTTTATAAATTTTCCCATTGAAAAAAAATGCCCCTTTTATTTCCTCTTGCCAGTCATAATGATACTTAACACCCATGCTATTTTCAAAGTGCCTTTCAGACACTGCAGACACTAACTCACAATTGCGGGGGTAAACTGCCTACTTCTGCACAGCACAATAATCATAAGTACATTTATATTATAATCCCTACTAAGCTATGGATCCAACTGACTGACTTAGTAACTGAAATGAAGCAGAATTATCCCAGCAGCATTTTGCTGGAATTTTCTTGTCAACTAGCTGAAAGTGTTCTTAGAAGTAAGAAGGTAGGGATTTGGGTTTTTTTTTTTTTTTTTTTTTTCAATTCATAGTGTGTAGGTTTGAGGAAGGTAGAGGTTCATAATAACATTGTCAAGAAAAGCAAGAACACTTGAGAAATTGACTTGCTGGAAATAAGGGAAAGATCTAAATGTATCCTTGACAAATTATGGTAAAGCAGAATTTTGTGTTTGAGAACTTATTTAAAAAAAGAAGGAGAAGGAGGAGAAGGAGAAAGAGAAAAGAAAAAATACCCGGAACAGATTTGAAAGCAAATCATGACCTCATGCAAAAATATTAGTGAAGGAAAGACCCTTGATCCTGGATCTGAGAAATATCCTGCATTAAGCTCCCCTTTGTTGAGGATTGGTGGGGGCTCCTTGAGTGCAGGTGCCCACGGACAACACACGGTGGGCATTCAGGAAGGGAAGCACCAACGAGAAGTTAGTAGGGGAACCGGAGTATTCAGATAAGAAAACGGTCACTGACCTGGTGAGGGACGCTGGAGGCAAGGGTCCGCCTGGGCTTCGTGTGGGTCCTGTAGGAATAGTTGCATGTGAGTGTTGGCTAAATATGAGATCCAGCCATCCTGAGACATTTAATGCTAGCGCAGTCATTAATCGGAATCTCTTATCCGACATGTTGTGCTTATTAAATTGTAATAAAATTATTGCCCTAGAACGTGAAAAAATTTTCCTGTTTGCTTTTTCCTAGCCTAGACGATAGGAAAAGTTTAGGTCTCTGGGGTGATGGCTCAGGGGGTGGGGGAGGCAGTACACGTATGCTTTAAAAATGACAATCCTTACGTTTGAAGAAAAATAGTTTACCCATTTGTTTTAAAGGAATGTTGTAAACGTTCAGGTTTTTGCTCCAGTGTAGGAAAAACAGTCCAAAATGAAAATTTAAAAGAACAAAAGTCTGAATGTAGTTGGTTAGTGTTTGCATAAATTAATATTCTGAGTTGAAAATTTAGCCTAGTCTCTGCTTTTGCTCAGCAACGCAGAATCGAAATGAACACGAGGCTGGGTTTCTTTCAGATGTTTCGTGTAGTAACTAGATGAGTGATGTAATTAGAAATTAAAAGGTGTGATTCAGAGCTCCAACTTAACTTTTTTTCTTCTTTTTTCTTTCTTTTTCTTCTTCTTTGTTTTTTAATAAGTTATAGGTGCACAACGAAGGAGAAGCCCCAGTGCACTGGCCATTGAAGTATTTGAAGCACATTTGGGAAGTCACATTTTGCAGGTAACTAAAAGAGAAAGAAGCTTGCTTATATTTTACTGAGAAAAATCCATGTGTTTAGTCTTGATTTAAAATACATTTTTAGATATCAGCTGTGTATATGACTATTGTTTTATGTTGCAATTATGAAATTCTTATGAATTTATTTTTTTCTTTTTAGAAAGCCATCTCTTGAGAGAATATTAATGAGAAAGGGAGGGCAAGTATTATTTGTGCTGTAATAATTGAGATAAATTGCACTATGCAGTTGATGTGCAATGTATAGTAGCTGGCTGTTCCCAGAATGATTGTGTGTGTGCTGCATTTGTAAGTGGATATATGTGTGTGTCTTTGGAGCTATATATATTGTTTTTGGAAGAGCAAAATTTTGTTGTGACAGTAATGTGACATTTTTATGTGTTGCCAAATTTCAGTTGTTCTTTGCTTGAGTTTGTATTCATAAGCGCTTTCAATCCTCACGTTTGCCTCCCCAAATTATAAGCTTTCTCAGAATGAAATTTTAAGGTACATTTGTAAGTAAAAGGAGACAAATAATAATAACTGATTTGGCCAATGAATTCCATGACAAGTAAATGCGAGGGTTACGAGGACAGAACTACAGTTATTTAGTCCTGGATAAGATGCATCCCAAGCTCAGCATCTCGCTTACTCCAAAACAATTTCCCCTTACGACGTTGCCGTGAGTTCAACACATCCAGGGATAATTGTTTTACAGTGTTTCTGCTACCAGGATAAATGTTGACATGGCCCAAGATTGTTTTTTTTAAACTATGTAAGATACATTTCTTATGCAGGATTAGAAAAGCAGACATGTTTGGGTTATGTAGGCAGCTTATTTGAAAAAACTAGTTATGCTTTTCATTGGATCTAGCATATTGTTTCTGAGAGTATGTACCCGGGAAAACTGTGAGCATCAGATTCTCCCTGGTCAAATCCCAGTAGTACTGTGAGCTGGCTCATTGGCTGGCAACTTCAGAATCAACTGAGATACTTGTTTGAAGGACACATTCTTACTAAAGCAGAATCTTCAGGGTGAGGCCCAGAAGTTTATGATTTTTAACAGACTTTTGAGATAATTTTGATGTTTCCTTAGGTCTGAGATGTCACAATTTACATTTGCACATTTAAGCCCTGAAAATCCTTACTTGACTTATTTTTGTTTATTCTGACATTTCTCTGCTAATGTCTGTTAAGTTCCTATATAGCTGATGTTTATTGAAGTACACTTTGGGATTTGTTATTCTATCATGCACACATTTGCAGTTCCTTTGTGGTAGATTGGTTTCAGGGATACAGAGGGGATGTTTCTTCCTATGTCTTTAAATTTTTATTTCCTTTTTTCCTGTACATACTTTGTTCAGAATCTCCTTTGTAAGTTTTGTATGAGCCATGCTGTATACGTTGTTAGATTCTGATGTGATTCAGGATGACTTCAGTTTATATTCTGAAGCAATCAGTGCATAAGACTTAGTCACTGAAACAAATGGTCTAAACAGTAGCCCCAGATTATTATCCTCTCAATCCTTTCTGAAATTTGAGTCCAAAGTCTTTAAGGAAGGGTGACGTGGGAGCTGCAAGAATTTAATATAAAATGCAAAACTTAGGAGTTTAATGTAAGCTTAATGGAAATAGGATATATAATGGTTGTTCCAAATGTCAGTTCAACAGTTGGCATCATTGAGAGAATAAGGGTTCTAGAATGAGGCTGCTAAGTTCTTTTGCTCTTAGGATTGGTCACACCCAACTTAGACAACATGCTTTAAGAAAAATATAGACAACTGAGTGTCATTTGGAATAGAATAACCAGACTGGTGCATGAACTAGAAAGTCATGTTACATGAGGAGTGGACAGAGAGTTTAGTGAAATTTAGTTTGGAAAAGACATGATTTAAAAGGGATATTAATGTCCTCTCTATTTGAAGATGTCGTGTGAAAAAAGTATTAGATATTCCATGTGGCTTCAGAGTGCAGGAGAGAGAAATGGATGAAAAAAAATCACCTTTATTCAAGAAAACTAAATAGGGCTGTCCACATTTGGAATATGTTCAAAGTCTTTGGCTCCAAGGGGAAGCATAAGTATCCTGGTAGGGAGGCTTTCAAGAAATTCAGGCCCGCAAGCATGGTTGCAGTAGATAATTTTGAAATTGTCATAGAAACTAGAATTTCATATCATTTGATTCTAACACCAGTACTTAAGGAGTGGGAAAAGCTGTATGTATTCTTCTAAATGAAATATTAGAATTGTGGGTAAGAAGGGCTTGGAAAGTCATAGTAACAAGAAAAGCCTTCTCTAAGCTGTCTTAGTTTTCTTCCCTCCTTGCAGGAGACTGTTGAGCCCCTAGACCCTTGTCAGAACCACATTGAACAATATCCCACTGGGTCTGCAAGCATAAGATGGTTTCCATATTTTCCTTCAGGAGGGTTCCTGGTGAAGTCTGGTTGATTCACCAGGAGGGTTCCTGGTGAAGTCTGGAGACTTCCTGGTGAAGTACTTCATGAGAACAGGGATGAATTCTTTCTTTGCTCTTTCCTCCCCTTCCTTCCCTAGCAAACATCTCATAAAAACCTATGTGGTCAAAAAGGTAGGCATGGGAACCGTGGCATTTGGAAGGTGACATAGAAGTCAGTTCAGAATGCCAGAATGGGGCTCAGAAAATGCCTATGATTTCTCTGCACCAAGTGCCCAGGCTTCCCTGCTGCCTGTGTCCCCAGTGACGTTTCATGGGATGGTGGGCTAAGGACTCCTTTGTGTAGAGAGTTGGGGGTGAGGGATGAACATAGACTCATTAATTTTTGCTTCACCCATCCTGCAGACTGCAGTGTGTGTTTTTGCTACGTATATCCTATTAGCCATTTTTCTCTAAGGAAAATATAAAAATGTTGTTGTGTCCTCTACAGTTTGACTTCTTTCCTGCTGAGATGGGGGAACATTTAACTTAATGGTGTTTTATCAATATAAAATCAACTGCTGCAGTGTTATTTTCCACTTTAATGGTCTACTACTGGTTGGTGGAGGCAAGGCCATCGCCTAGGCTGTGCCCTGTGCGATTCTGGGGTGGCCATTCACATCATTCCCGTGAAAGCTTCCATAATGATTCTGACCAGTACTACGGCCCCAGTGAACCTGTAGCTGTTTCAGGCATGACTTTTAAGGCAGAGGGATCTTCTGCAGGAGTGTTGAGGGTTCAGGTGATGCCAGCCTTGCACATGCAGGACTGTGGAGTGTATGTATTAGGCCTGAGTCAAGTCATTTTAGTCCACTTTGTTCTTCTTTGACTTGTATTAATCAGATGAGGAGCAGAAGGGCAAGGGGTCAAGATTAGGAATTGTGCTTCTTGCACAAGCTAAGAAAAAAAAAAAATTCAAGAACTTCAGGTCATTATGTGGGATCTTTCCTGAATATAGTATATGTGACTAAGCACCCATTTGGTTCCTGCTTTAGAAGCTCTCTTAGGGCGTTGTTATTCCCACTTCATGATTCCCTTAATACCAAGAAATATGAGTGATATTTACTTTTACTTTCCCAATTTAGAGATCAGATAGAATATTCATATGTTCTTATCAGAGTTAATGAAACACAAAATAGTCACAAATATCATCTTCGTACCTCATAAAATTAACTAGTAGAATGACTTTCCCTTAGGTGCAGATTTATGAATGGAGTACTTTAATTATTTGCATGCCCTTAGCAGACGGTTTTAAGGTTTTTTTTTTCTTTCTGTAAATAATGCTTACATAATTGTTAGTTAAAATTGCAGTATTGTTTTTGCATTTACTCACCTCACAGGTGTTAAAACAAAACAATCACATCAAACCTTGTACCTGGAAGATTTTAAGGTTCATGTTTGTATTCACTATTAGCACATTATGGTGAACCACAGAGAGAGACATATATGTTATATTACATTGGGCAATACAGATCACTGCTAGCAGCTATTACATACTATAAGTATATATAAGTGAGCGAAAAGTGGTTTTTAGCCCTAACTAGTTGTAGATATTACAATAAAATTTTGTGAGCTAGATGAATACAATCCTAATAAGTACCCACATGTTTTATTATTGAAGCTGTCTTGGGAGAATAAAAAGAATATTCTTTAAGAAATGCCCTAAGGAGAGATAATGGTGGAAGCATGATATCTATGTGTCATTTTGCGCTTGGCCGTGTTCCATGAACCCTCCCATATCTGTGTCATTGACCCTGCAGTATTTCTGGACATGAAGAAATTTTGCATTGCTCTTAAAACATTCAAGCCCCAAGCTACCAGAGGATCCTGTGGACAGGTCTCCTGAGAGAGACCAAGGGAGAACCATCAAAAACATTGTAGGATTATAACACCTGAGTTTCTCTGACTGCTGGTGGATCAGAAAAGGCTGGGAAGAATGGTTGCATGACTGCCTGTCTTCCCCAGAAAAACTAGGGGAGTGTTTTTGGAAGGCTCATTTATTGGTAGAACAACCTTCTTGTAGAAGAAGGCCATAAATCTGGCCATTACCTTAGCAGAGCAGTTGAATTAAGGTATGTATTTACCTAAAATGGTGGGAAGGAAGGGAACTCAAATGTAGCTATTTTTCTCTTTGATAGGCAAAGCAGTCATAGATTTATGTGGGTGAGATGGATGGCACCAGATACCTCAATAAAATGTCAGATTTTAATCATGATGGTTTTCTTTCTCTCAACATCTCATCCATAGTATACAGAGTAGAGTCATATCTCAAGTAAAAGAGGAGGCTAGGTTTTTTAAAAAGCAGTTTGGGATCAAATTTGGGGGAAAAATCAAATCAAGATTTACATTGAAATGTCCATGTTTCCATTATTCATCACATTGTGAAGACTGGTTAGGGACGTATCCTGGAGTCCTGTCTAGTTTGTCTGTATACTATTTTGGTCCTGCAGCATTATTATTAGAAGAAAACATCTAAGTTCCCTGCCAGAAATATTTAAAAATTTGTAGCTGGTGTAGTAAGGAAAACAAAATAAACAGTATCTTGTGACATTTTAT